ACTGTCTTTACTTGGAAGAATAGCAGCAGTTAAGATGAACATTTTGCCAAGATTTCTGTTTTTGTTTCAAATGATTCCGGTGCTTAAAAGTGATAAACAACTGAAAGTTTGGCAAACTGGACTTAATAAGTTTGTCTGGAACGAGAAAAAGCCGAGAGTGAAATTGAAAATTATGCAAGATGTTCCAGAAAGAGGAGGCCTTAAACTTCCAAACCTACAGTTATATTATGATGCAGCAGCCTTAACTTTAACAAGTGATTGGTTTGGAAGTAAAAAGGCTGGAATATTGAATGCAGAAAGTTTTGATCTTGAATTTGGATGGCATGCTTACCTATTTTATGATGACAAAGTTGATAAAGTATTTAAAAGTCATATACTTAGAGACTCTTTGATGAGAGTTTGGAAGAAGCACCGACTCAAATGGGATTATAAAATACCGCTATGGCTGGATCTTGGTCATACCTTGTGGAATACAAATATAATGTCACTCGGGGGGTTTTTATACAAAGAGGTTCTTTTTACAGATGCGGGCAGATGGCAGTTGAAGACATTGCAGACACTGTTGGACGAAGGGATTAACTTAACCTGGTTACAATATAATTAATTACAATTGAGATGGAAAGAGGACCAAAAAACTGGTATTATGTTGCATGAGGAAGAATTGGTTAGACATATAAGAGAGAAAGGTCCAATGCATATTAAAAGGCTTTACAATGTTTTGCTAGAAAGGGATTCAGAAACGGAAATTAGTTAAAGATTGTATGATTAAGTGGGCACAAAATTTTGAAGAACCAGTGATGTTGGAAACATGGGAAAAAATTTGGGTTCAGAATGTTAAATTTACACAGTCGCAGAATTTGAGGGAAAATTTCTATAAAATGTTTTATAGATGGCATCTAGATCCTAAAAAGTTGTCATGTATGTACCCTAATGTTCAGCCAAAATGTTGGAGATGTGAATGTTTGGATGCTACGTATTATCATGTTTGGTGGACCTGTAGGAAAGTTAAGGCTTTTTGGATAAAAATATGGTGGGTCATGCAGAATGTTTTGAAGAAAAAAATTCAATTTTCTCCACAATTGTTTTTATTGGGCATAGTTAAGGGTTTTACACGGGATGAAACAAAATTAATATTGTATATGATAACAGCAGCAAGATTGTTGATAGGTAAATATTGGAAGAATGAAGCTTTGCCTACTATCGAGGAATGGACTTCGAAGATGGCCAGTTTTGCAGAGATGGCGAAGATTTCAGCATATTTAAAAGATTGTTCACAAGAGACTTATGAATGGGAATGGAAAAGGTGGATAGAATATGTTCAGAACAAATATCAAATTAGAAAGTATCAAATAGCTTTTATTTGAAAACAATGTATTAGAAATATTTTAATATAAAGAGACAAAGAGGGAAAATTATGTAGGGGGAGGGATGGGTTCAGGTATATATATCAGTGTTATTAGTTATGAGTACATAATAGGGAAGTCTGGGGGGGGGAGGGTTAGGGAGGGTTAGGGAGGACGGGAAGTTTGGGGAGGGAGGTGGGGGGGTGAAAAAAAGGGGTGAAAATGTAATTGTAAAACTTTTGCAATAAAAAAAAAAAAATTTGGGTCCTCATTTTACCCACCTTGGAAAGACGGAAGGCTGAGTCAACCTTGAGCCTGGTGAGATTCGAACTGCCAAATTGCAAGCAATTGGCAGAAGTAGCCTGCGGTACTGCACTCTAACCACAGCTCTTGGTGCATTGGTCATAAGTGTGGAAAACTATCATAAGTCACTTTTTTCAGTGCCGTTGCAACTTTGAACCCTCACTAAACGAATTGTTGTACGTTGAGGACTACTTATCCATCAGTTTATAAAGAGAATGGAAATATGAAAATAGCACGGGTATTCTAGGTTTTATGTCTACTTCCAAATATTTTGAAAAGTAGCGTGATAGATAGGTAAATGTCCTTAGTACGATACATTTAAGAAAAGGGTGATAAAATTGAAGGGCTAAACGATTCTTAGGACTAGATTTACAAGTAAATAAATTTAGCATCATTCTACAGATAACAAGATTTTTTTCTCCCCCCTGACAACCAGCACGGCTGAAATGTTTGATGAATGCAATTCTTGGATTTTTTTTTTATTTTTTTTTTTAATTTGATTTATATGCCGCCCTTCTTCGGAGACTCACGGCGGCTTACAATGCGTTAAGCAATAGCCTTCATACTTTTGTATATTTAGATTTTGGGGTGCAGCTACGTATATTGATGATATTTGCTGGCAAGAAGTAAAAAAATAAAATGGTTTCAGTTAAGATTCAGCCCTGTGTTGCTTTCTGTCTTTCGAGGTAGATAACTCACTGCCTTAGCTCAAAGGAATGGCTGTAAAGAAGGCTCGTCTGTTGGACGTCTCTGGAATTTTAAGGCGAATTTTGAGTTCTTGGAAGTGTTTTTATGAGAATGAGAAATACTCCGTCTATGATTCAAGCGTTACTGGGAAGGAAGACCGTGTACTCTGTGGAACGCCTTGTCTCTCGCTGGGGATGGAAGCAAAAAACCATGTGATTTGTCAACTTCCATCGGCACATAAGGATGTTAAAAATAAGATTGCTGTTAATCCTAGAGGGCATTCTTCCACTCAGAAATATGTCAGCGTGTTTAGTAATAACGATATCTCCTTTGTAGAGTGGGAACCCTTTACCTTATTTGGTCGCACGAAGGATGTTTGCAGGAATTGGGGATGAAAAGAAGGGTTAGGGGAAACGTGATAGCAGTCTTCCAATATTTGAGGGGCTCCTACAAAGAGGAGGGGCTCAAGCTGTTTTCCAAAGCACCAAAAGGCAAGAGACGAAGCAATACTGCAACGCTCTCTACATGGGGCTCCCCCTGGGGTGCACCCGGAGGCTCCAGCTGGTCCAGAACATGGCCGCGCGGGGGATTATGGGGGCGACGAGGCGCTCCCATGTGACACCTCTCCTGCGCGAGCTGCACTGGCTCCCGGTGGTCTTCCGGGTGCGCTTCAAGGTGTTGGTGACCACCTTTAAAGCGCTCCATGGCTTAAGGCCGGGGTACTTACGAGACCGCCTTCTGCCACCAATAGCCTCCCACCGGCCAGTACGCTCGCACAGAGTGGGCCTCCTCAGGGTGCCATCCGCCAGACAATGTCGGCTGGCGACCCCCAGGGGGAGAGCCTTCTCTGTGGCGGCACCCACCCTCTGGAACAACCTCCCCCTAGAGATACGTTCAATACCAGACCTCCGGATTTTTCGTCGGGCCCTGAAAACCTATTTATTTCAACTAGCTGGGCTGGCTTGAGTTAAATTTTAAGTTGATTTTAAATAGGGTTGTTTTAATTTACGGCCAAAATATTTAATTATTTTAAACTGTTTTTAAATTTTGTATGTTCTGTTTTTTACTTTGGCTGTTCACCGCCCTGAGTCCTGTTTGGAGAAGGGCGGTATAGAAATGGAAACAAATAAATAAAATAAATAAATGGATGGAAACCAATCAAGGAGAGAAGCAACTTAGAACTACGGAAAATATTCCTAACAGTGAGAACAGTTAATCAATGGAACGGCTTGCCTTCAGAAATTGTGGTTGCTCCATCACTGGAGGCTTTTAAGAGGAGACTGGACAGCTACTTGTGTGAAATGTATAGAGCCATGATGGTGAACCTATGGCACGCGTGAACCTATGGCACATATCTGTGGGCACGCGAGCATTGCCCTAGCTCAGCTCCAGTGCACATGGGCATACCAGCCAGCTGATTTTTGGGCCTTCTGGAAGTCGGGAAACGGGCCGTTTCCGGACTCCGGAGGGCCTTTGGGGAGGATGGGGAAGGCAGTTTTCACCCTCCCCAGGCTCCAAGAAAGCCTCTGGAGCCTGGGGAGGGTGAAAAATGGGCCTACCGGGCCCACCGTGTGCCAAAATTGGGGGGAGCGTGTGGGGGGGGCGTGTGTGCATGCGTGGGGTGCATTGAATTATGGGTGGACATGTGCGCACACGACTCCCCGCGCTCCTCCCACTTTTGGCATGCGACAGCAAAAAGGTTAGCCATCACTGGTATAGGGTCTCCTGCTTGAACAGGGGGCTGGACTAGATGACCTCCAAGGTCCCTTCCAACTCCGTTATTCTATGTTCTACGTTCAGATCTGATTAGTACCTATGTAGAAATGTTAGAGCGGTGGAGAAAACTGAGGTTAAATAAAGGAGGTACAAATAAACCTCCACTTTAATGGAGCTCATTGTGTGGATTTTGAATGCAAATCTGAACATACACAATATCCTTTCACACGTCTGCAAAATCCCATTTGCCGTTCTATGCTCGGATAGAATAGATAAAATGTGCATGTGTAAAACCTCATTCCCGCTTTTACACATGCATGAGCTGTATGCAAAATCAGCATGCACAAAATCCCATTGGAGGAATGCCTATTATAATAACATCAGAGCATGCAAAATCCCATTTGAATTTAATGGACTTTCTGCTTTTTAATGGACATCCTTTCCCCCATTGGGGCATCACCTTCCAAGTTGACAGTCTTGCATTTCGAGGGGTGAAGGCTAGCAGGATTTTTGCCCTTGACTGGAAGGTTGGTGACTTTGAAAATCCATGAGAAATTTTGCAATGTGTGGGCTGCATTGGAAGGCAGTGGCTTTTAGATTTATTTAGTCACTTCAAGCATTACGCACTTTCCATGCTTTGTTTATGTGGAAGCTTAAGAAGAAATCTGAGAGACAGTTTGGTGTAGTGTCTACACAAAACTGTTGAGTATAGAGAGGGGTAAAAATACCGCATCTCAGATTTTAAGTTTTAGCAGGTTGTGCTTTAGAATAGAACAGAACTGAAGGGGCCTTGGAGGTCTTCTAGTCCAGCCCCCAGCTTAAGCAGCAGAATCTATGCCATTTCAGACAAGTGACTATCCAGTCTCCTTAAATACCTCCAGTGATGAAACACCCACAACAGCTTGCCTTCAGAAGTTGTGGGTGCTCCATCACTGGAGGCTTTCAAGAGGAGACTGGACAGCCATTTGTTCAGAATGGTATAGGGCCGTGATGGCGAACCTATGGCACGCGTGCCACAGGTGGCACCCGGAGCCATATCTGCAAGCACGCGAGCCATTGCCTTAGCTGAGCTCCAGTCAGCTGATTTTTGGCTGCCCCTCCCCTCCCAGGAGTTTCCACGCAGCCCGTTTTGGATGCCAGGTAAGTACAGGGCTCACACGAAGGCTCTGGGAGGGCGTTTTCGGCCTCGGGGGGGAGAATTTTTGCCCTCCCCAGGCTCCAAGAAAGCCTCTGGAGCCTGGGGAGGGTGAAAAATGAGCCTCCCGGGTCCACTGGAAGTTGGGAAATGGGCCATTTCCAGTCTCCGGAGGGCCTCGGGGGGGGAGGGGGGGGCTCCAGGCTCCAGAGTTGGCAAGGCCTCCCTCTTCAGAAACCTCCTCTCTGGCAATGCCTTCGGTGTCCGCTGAAGAGCAAGAGATAGGGCTGGGGCCAAGCACGTCCACACAGCCACAGATGGACAGTGATGAGGGTAATGAGTCTTGGCTGGATGCACGCCAGCGTCGCAGAGATAAGCGCGCGCAACAGAAGAAAAGGCGTGCCCGAGATTAGGCTGAGTCACTGGACCACACCCCACAGGATATAAAAGGGAGCGTGGTCTGCCAGTCAAACCTTGTGACGAGCAAAGCTGAAAGCTTTCACGCCATTCTGCATTGCCGGACTTTTGCTATAGACTTTGCTCGATTATCTCTGGACTTGATTGTAATTATTGAGCTGTTTCTTTTGATGTACCAGAAGTGGGGAGAAGTTATCTCTCCTCTTTGCAAATAATAAACTCTTGGCAGGCAGCCACTAGGTTGTTGCCAGGTTCCGTTATCATAAGGAAAAGGATTTTGCCGGCTGGTTTGGTCTAACTCTTGAATGTCTGTTGGTGTGTGTGCGTGGGGTTGGGGACAGAACAATAGGGTCTCCTGCCTGGAGGAGGAGGTTGGACTAGAAGACCTCCAAGGTCCCTACCAGACTTACGATTCTATGATCTGTACTTTCGTACTGTTTTGTAGGCATGTAGCACATATAACTCAAATTACTGAATTGCCTCCTTTTTCGGATTCACACAATGCATTCAGCCATAAGATGCACTAGGTTTGAACAGCGTGCTAGGTTACAAATCATGGTGGGAAAAAAAATGTGGGTTTTTTGGTCATCTTGGCATTTTTTTGCTCACGTTGTAGGTCCTTTTGGGGGCCAGAATTTAAGCAACCTGTCTCAAAGGCTGACCCTTGATATTCTTCCTTCTCCCAGGTAGTCTTTTTCTGGTGGACATTAAAGATGAAAACCTGGGCAATCTGGAAACGGGGCTTTGCAACAACCAGGCGAAACTTATGGAGGAAGCCTTAGCCGCTGCTGAAGATCTCTCTGTTCCAGGCCAAAAGAACGTAAGTATACTTCATTCTTGATAGATCAAAGCTTCCGTACTGTTCCCTCTTGCGGTGTTCCTGCACCACAGGAAAACTCTGCGAGATAGAATGAGCTGAGACTGTCCCGAGGTCAACGGTTGACTTTTGGGCTCCTCCTACATCTTATCTCGAGCCACGCTGAGGGGAACAGATCATAGAATCGTGATGGCGAATCTATGGTACGCGGGTCAGAGGTGACACACAGCACCCTCTCTGACGGCAGGTGAGCTGTCTCCCAGTTCAGCTCTGCTGTGCATGCGCGTATGCCTCCTGCCGGCCAGCTGGTCTTCAGGTCTCTGCCGTGCATGTCCAGGAGGTGGGGCGCGTGAAGGGGGCACCCGCGGCCCTCCCGAGCTCCATTTTTGCTGGCAGAGGGTTGCAGGAGGCCGTCGCAGCCAAAAATGGAGCTTGGGAGCCTGTTTTCTCTGGTAGAGCTGTTGGGCCACCACAGGCGCCCCCGTCACGAGTGACGTCGAGCTGGCCATGCCCATCCTGGTCGCACCCACCCAGGCCCCCTGAGGTCAAACGCAACCCTGCTGCGGCCCTTGATGAAATCAAGTTTGACACCCCTGGTAAAGGGTCCCCTGCTCCAGCAGGGGGATGGATTAGATGACCTCCAAGGTCCCTTCCAACTCTGTTATTGTTCTATGGGGTGTTTTCCAAAGCACGTGGATTTGTCAGGTGGAAATACGAATCCGTTCGTGAAAAACCTGAGCCAGAATGTTACCCAGAATGCACACAAGCCCATCATCGATAAGATCGAAGTCCTTCTTTGGTTTGGACGGACGCTGATCTGGGAGAAGAATTTGCATTGTAAATAGAAAGTTCTTACTGCATGTTCTTTGACTGCTTGGATGCAGTTGATTTCCTTTCCGTATACCAGAGGTTTTTTTTTTTTTTTTAATTTTTTTTTTGATTCCAGCAAATTGAGTATTTTAGGACGTATCATGTTGTCATGGAAAATGTGAACCCACAGGCTCGATGGAGAAGAGATTAAAAAATGCTGGCAGTTGGTTCCTGCCCTGCAAGCTGTTCCCAGCTGGAGAGAGAGAGAGAGAGAGAGAGGTTGTGTCTATGTCTCTCTCGATTTTTCATCCTTTTGGTCTCTTTCTTTTGGAGGGGAGGGTGCATTTCTGCTTTGCCTGTTTCCCTGATGTGCCAAGCAAGCAAAGGCTTCAAAGGGCCCAGATGCTGCTGAACAGGAGCCACAGAAGAGCAGCAAGTAGAAATGGGGGCTTTGAGCAGATACAGATTAACAGAGCTGGCAGGGACCTTGGAGGTCATCTAGTCCAATCCCCCACTCAAACAGGAGACCCTACACCATTTCTGACAGACGGCAGTCCAGTCTCTTCTTGAAAGTCTCCAGTGATGAAGCTCCCACAACTTCTGAAGGCAACTTCTGTTCCGTTGGTTGATTGTCCTCACTGTCAGGAAATTCCTTCTTATTTCCAGGTTGAATCTCTCCTAGTTTCCATCCATTGCTTCTTATCTGGCCTTCAGGTGCTTTGGAAAATAGCTTGACCCCCTCCTCTCTGTGGTAGCCCCTCAAATATTGGAAGACTGCTATCATGTCTCCCCTAGTCCTTCTTCTTCACTAGACTAGCCATGCCCAGTTCCTGCAACCGTTCATCGTATGTTTTAGCCTCCAGTCCCCTCATCATCCTGGTTGCTCTTCTCTGCACTCTTTCTAGAGTCTCAACCAGGGGTGAAATCCAGCAGGTTCTGACAGGTTCTGGAGAACCAGTAGCAGAAATTTTGAGTAGTTTGGAGAACCGGCAAATGTTACCTCTGGCTGGCCCCAGAGTGGGGTGGGAATGGAGATTTTGCAGTATCCTTCCCCTGCCATGCCCACCAAGCCACACCCACCAAGCCACACCACGCCCAAGCCACGCCCACAGAACCGGTAGTAAAAAAAATTTGGATTTCACCACTGGTCTCAACATCTGTTTTATAGTGTGGTGACCAAAACTGGATGCAACAGGAGCAACAGAACAGCAAGTAGAAATTGGGGTTTTGAGCAATTTGAGTTTCCATCAAAATCCTTCTCTAGCTACGCAAAAACCATGTTGAAGAAACCAAGTTGGGTTTTTGCATAAGTGAGCGAAGAGTCAGCTTCACATAAAATACACTTTGATTGCCCCCTGGTGCCCAAGAAGCACAGTTGCTTCCCCGGGCTAAATCAAAAACAGGAAACGAGGTTTGGAAACCAAAGAAGATGGGGGGAGAAAAGGGTAGCTCTACCTGTTGAACTTCCATGCAGAGTTGAGGAGAGCCAAGAGCTTGGCCTGCTTGAGTGTCACTGCAAACTTTACAACAGTGGAGGTAGTCCTTGGCGTACGACCACAGTTTTGGGACCATCCTTTGTGTTGTTGCGCAAAAGTGATTGTTCAACAAGTCGCGCTGGTGTTACGACCTTCTTTGCCACCGTTGTTAAGCGCAACTCTACACTTGTTAGGTGGATCTTGTAATGGTTAAGCAAATTGGCTTCCCCCGTTGACTTGCTTGCTAGGGAGCCGGCTGTTCTGACCCAGCTCTCCAAACACGACAAACTCTCTGAAATGAACTCAAAAGATTTCTTTATTAGGAGTGCCGGCAGCCCCGGCAAAAAGTTTATCTCACAGGCTGACAAGTCCATCCAGCCGGAAGATGAATAACTGTCTGCCACATCTATCTATCTATCTATCTATCTATCTATCTATCTATCTATCTATCTATCATCTATCTATCTATCTATCTATCTATCTATCTATCTATCTATCATCTATCTATCTATCTATCTATCTATCTATCTATCTATCTTTCTTTTTTTATTTATTTTTATTTTATTTTATTTTATTATTTTATTTTTTTATAATTTAATTTAATTTAATTTAATTTAATTTAATTTAATTTAATTTAATTTAATTTAATTTAATTTAATTTAATTTAATTTAATTTAATTTAATTTAATTTAATTTTTTATATACCGCCCTACTCCCGAAGGACTCAGGGGGGTGAACAGCCAAACAGTAAAAATACATAGATACAAAATTTAAAAACAAAGTAAAATCGAATTAAACAAATTTGGCCCAAAACCCCAATCCTTTAAAAACCAATTTAAAATTTACATAATTAAAAAGAGGGAAAAGATTAAGCCAGGCCCGCCTGGTGGAATAAAAAGGTCTTAAGAGCGCGGCGGAAGGTGCGCAGATCCGGGATCCTCCGTATCTCCGGGGGGAGCTCGTTCCAGATCGTAGGTGCCCCCACAGAGAAGGCTCTCCCCCTAGGGGCCGCAGTCAACATTGTTTGGCCGACGGCACCCGGAGGAGCCCCTCTCTATGGGAGCGTACTGGCCGGTGGGAGGCTATTGGTGGTAGTAGGCGGTCCCGCAAATAACCAGGTCCTAAGCCATGGAGCGCTCTAAAGGTGGTAACCAAAACCTTGAAGCACACCCGGAAGACCACCGGGAGATCATCTCTGCTCTCTGCCTTTTATCTCCAGACCTAGGGTGGGGCTTTACTAGCAGCGGTGGCTGTTCCTTCCCCAAGACTGACCCATAGATTTCCACTGCTCTCCTCTCCTCTGCCTTCTGCGCAGCCACGCGTCAGGCACTGGACCCAGCTGTTCCTCCTCTTCCTCATCAGCCATCTCCAGACCTGGGGGCTGTTGACTCTCCATCTGAGGGCTGATGGATGGCCCAGACTACGCCTCTGTCTCTCTCTCTCTGCCAGCTCCATTCCCTCTTCCCTCTCGGAGCTCTCAGGCTGCCTCGATGCTGACCCTGTTCCCATGCCGCCTCCTCCTCCTCTGATTCGGCTGTTGGAGGGGCCAGCGGCTGACAGGCGACTACGCTGTCTGGGAAGTTCACAAATGACTATCTTGTGACTTTGGTACGCTGCAGCAATCCTAAATACATGCCAGTACAAACCCTGGAGATGCAGTGATAGTCACAAGTGTGAGAGCCAGTCATAAATCAGTTTTTGCACGGTCACTAAGTGAATGGCTGTAAATCAATCTGTAGTCACAGGGTGGAATTTGGAGATAAACGGAGAAATTCTCCACAGTTTTCCAGCTTCACAGGCTGCACCTGGCTTTGGACTGATCTGGGTTAGGCACACTTACTGGAGCTACCCCGATCAGCAAACAGAAGTGTCAAAAAAATCAATTATTGGCATGAAGGATTTTTTTCCTACCTCTTGGTCTAGGTGCTTGAAGTCTGTATGAATTTGAATTAAATTAGAATGAAAATAGAAAGGCTGGAATCTCAAAAAGGCAGAGAAAATTGGGTGCCTGGATGGTTTGAGAAATCTTGCGTTGAAAAGCCGTGTTACTTTTGTGAATTTTGTTTGTTTGTTTGCAATATGATTTCAGCAGAAGAATCTTGTTTTATCATTTTCATCCATTGTCTACAAGAAGTAAAACTCACAAATAAACATTTTCAAGATGTATCATTGTTCAGGTTCATTGCTGAGGTTGAGTAAAAGCACGATTGCTTAATCCAATTTTTTATTAACTTAATTATCCAGAGTAACTTTTGTAGGCAGCAACCCTCAGGTGACTTGGCTATATCTAATAGATAGAGAGATGGAGAGATGGAGAGAGAGAGAGAGAGAGAGAGAGAGAGAGAGAGAGAGAGAGAGAGAAATGTTAGATACATTGATGATAGAGAGATGGATAGATGGATAGAGAGATAGAGAAATAGATAGAGAGATGCTAATAGATAAAAGCTAATCCCAACACCCTCACCCGCACCAAGTGAAAGAAGTGGTTTATGGACTTTGGTTCTCCTAATCCAGCAATCTTTTCCTTTCCTTTCCTTTCCTTTCCTTTCCTTTCCTTTCCTTTCCTTTCCTTTCCTTTTTTTCCTTTCCTTTCCTTTCCTTTCCTTTCCTTTCCTTTCCTTTCCTTTCCTTTCCTTTCCTTTCCTTTCCTCTCCTCTCCTCTCCTCTCCTCTCCTCTCCTCTCCTCTCCTCTCCTCTCCTCTCCTCCTCCTCTCCTCTCCCCTCTCTCCCCCCTCCCTTCCCCTCTCCCGACACATTGCTTCCCATAACATACAAATATTGGAAACTGTAATTTGTTTAGAGAAAGGGACATGCTGCCCATTCCTTTAGCAGCTCTAGAGAGTTCCAAACAACAAAACCGCCCTTTTCTAAAATCCTGTATCGATGTAATAGCAATACACTTCTCCCCATATTTGGAAAATTGATGCCTTTGCAAAATCGAATTCCAAATTGAGTGGTTCATAGGGTGGCCCAAAATATTGTACAGAAGCAAAGAAAAAGAAAAGGAAAAGAAAAAGGAAAGGAAAGGAAAAGAAAAGGAAAAGAAAAGAAAAGAAAAGAAAAAGAAAAGAAAAGAAAAGAAAAGAAAAGAAAAGAAAAGAAAAGACAGTATTAATGTCTGCTTAAAAATGTGGTTGATAGTAAAGACCCAGTTTAAATAGCATTGCTGTTCAGAATAGAATAACAGAGTTGGAAGGGACCTTGGAGGTCTTCTAGTCCAACCCCCTGCTTAGGCAGGAAACCCTACACCATTTCAGACAAATGGTTGTCCAATTTCTTCTTAAAAACTTCCAGTGTTGGAGCATTCACAACTTCTGGAGGCAAGTCGTTCCACTGATTAATTGTTCTAACTGTCAGGAAATTTCTCCTTAGTTCTAGGTTGCTTCTCTCCTTGATGAGTTTCCACCCATTGCTTCTTGTCCTGCCCTCAGGTGCTTTGGAGAAGAGCTTGACTCCCTCTTTGGGGCAACCCCTGAGATATTGGAACCCTGCTATCATGTCTCCCCTGGTCTTTCTTTTCATTAAACTAGACTTTCATTAAAAGCTTCCTGTGTTTTAATTCTTGTTTTTGTTTTGGTAACTGGTACAACTTTGAGAACACGAAAAAAAATATTCTCTTTGATTACAGATTAAAGTGGAGGCTTCGTCAATGAGCTTCCTTCCTCTGTACCGAGATGACAGTGAATGCTGCCTCCTGGTACTCACTGATCCCCAAGATAAGAACACAGGTTAGTAAATAGATTGTGGTTTGGTTTTTTAAAAACTCCTCTCTTTTATTTCAGCACGGCTCTGAATGATCGGATGCACGAAACATAACTTGGCACCTGGGATGTGGGCATATGGAAAACCATTTGGGAATTCTATGCAAGTACTCTGGGCACTGAGGAAGGGTGGGAGATAAATAGAACTTGGCTTCTAAATGCAAAACACTTTTCGAGGAGCGACTTCCCTGAAACCTGTCTGCTCTTCTCATCAAAATGACATTTTGAGTACTCCAGGATTTTCTGCGACTAAATAGCGAAGAGGTCTTGCCATAAAATGCTGTGGCATCAGCATTCTAAATTCAGAATTCAGAGACGAAAACAAATGAAGAACGTGTGGCAGGAACTGGGTATGGTTAGTCTAGAGTAGTGATGGCGAAACTTTTACTTACCAAGTGCTGAACAGGAACATGCTTCACACCCTGCACGCACTTGCGTGCCATCTGTGGTAATGTGTGGCTCCTCCCCATGTGCTCTGCGTGCAACTGCACCATATGTGCATGCACACAGCTTTCATGCATGCACACTAGCGCATGCTGTACACACAACCGCACCATTTGCGCATGCACACAGCTTTTGCACATGCAATGCACGTGCACAAATGCTGTCTGCGCATGCATGCACAATCTTGCACACATGCGCAAACGCGCGCATGTGCAGGAGAGCTCCGAAGACCAGCTGGGTCCCCTGAATTGCATGCATGCGCACCAGAGGCCATGCATGTGCAGTTTCAGGTGAGCTTGGCGACAGCTCGCGTGCCCGGAAAAAAGGCTCTGCGTGCCACTTCCGGCACGTGTGCCATAGGTTCGCCAACACGGGTCTAGAGAGAAGAAGAACTAGGAGCAGGGGTAGTATTTAGCCGGTTTGGACCAGTTTGGGCAAACCGGATGCTAATTTTACATCTGGTTCGCTGAACCAGTAGTTGCAAGGACTGGCTGGCCCCGCCCACCCCGCCCTTGCCAGGAGTCTCCATGCGGCCCGTTTTGCATGCCAGGTAAGTGCAGGGCCCGCATGGAGGCTCTGGGAGGGCAAAAAATGGGCCTCCCAGAAGTTCCAGAAGTCTCGAAACAGGCCGGTTTCCAGCCTCCGGAGGGCCTCTGGAGCCCGGGGGAAGCTGTTTTAGCCCTCCCAGAGGGTCAAGGAAAGCCTCCAGAGCCTGGAGAGGGCGAAAAACGGGCCTTTCGGAAGTCCGGAAATAGGTTTGTTTCCAGCCTCCAGAGGGCCTCTGGAGCCCAGGGGAGGCTATTTTCGGGCTCGAGGAAAGCCTCTGGAGCCTGGGGAGGGTGAAAACGCCCCCCCCTGCCTTGGTGCAGGAGGCCGAGTAGGCCACACCCATCATGGCCACGCCCACACAGCAACCGGGCAGAGAACCAGTTGCTAACATTTTTGAATCCCACTCCTGACTAGGGGTGACATGATAGCAGTATTCCAGTATTTGAGGGACTGCCAGAAGGAAGAGGGGGTCGACCTATTCTCCAAAGCACCTGAGGGCAGGAGAAGAAGCAACGGGTGGAAACTAATCAAAGAGAGAAGCAACCTAGAACTAAGGAGAAATTTCCTGACAGTTAGATCAGGAATTTGATCAATGGGCTTGCCTTCAGAAGTTGTGGGTGCTCCATGACTGGAGGCTTTTAAGAAGAGACTGGACAGCCATTTGTCTAAAATGGTTATAGAGTCTCCTGCTTTTGCCAGGGGGTTGGGCTAGAAGACCTCTTAAGTTCCCTTCCAGCTCTCTTCTGATTGGCTCCATACATCCCCTCTAATATTAAGAATACTATTTGTGAGGATGTAGTTTCGTATCTTCCTTGCCGTCATTGCGAACAAGGCAACTTCATCAGACCACAAAAACTAAGATATTTTTTCTTCTAGGCTAGATAATAGTGCCCACATTACTGCGTTTCAAGAGAAATGGCTTTTTTTTTTTCCTGCCTGAGAATTTGTAAGTAGCGGAAGGAAGCCAAGAGAACATTACGGCTTTGGTATTTTATCTTATAGGTTTGCGTGTACTTTTGAATTTTAATGTGTAACCCAGTATATAATGTACCCTTCATCACTGAGTCTCGAACTGTTCTCAGTCATGAATTGCCAGTTTTAATTTTGGGAACAGAGGGAGCCTTTCTTCATTGATTTTATGATCTCCCTGAGTCGAAATTTTAAGATTAGCCATTTTCCTTTAGCCTAATTGTGATTGTAATATGATAATGGCTTAGGAGAGGGAAGAAAGGAACAGCTGTATCTTGAGATCAATCTGATATAAATAAGGAAAAAAAAAAACCCCAAGTTTTTAATATAGTGGTTACAAAAAGTTTTTATAGTTGTTTTCTGGAACACTGTGTATTATAGTAATTTCCTCCTGAATTATGAAAAGTGTAGAATTTTGCAGCCCATGTAACTGGCAATAAAAAGTATTTTTTTCTATGCTGGTTTTCTTGATCTAATGGAGAGTAAAGGCTAGATAGATTCATCCCTTTTAAGATCGGTGAGAAAACAGATTCAGGTTACAGGAAGGGTGTGGCTTAGATGTTGCTAAGCAAGTCCTGGTTACCTACACAGACCATGGAATCATAGGCCTGGAAGGGGCCTTGGAGATCTTCTAGTCCAACCCCTGTCCAGGGCAGGAGATTTATACCATCTCAGACAAACGGTTGTCCAAGCTATTTTTGAAAACCACCAGTGGTGGAGCAACCACAATTTCGGGAGGCAAGCTATTCCATTGATGATTAAATGAATGGTGTGGCTGACTTGGATTTAAAAAGGGGAAGCTGGTGGTTTAAAAGGGGAATCGGTGGTTTAAAAAGGAATCTGGTGCTTTAAAAGGGGAATCTGGTGCTTTAAAAGGGGAATCTGGTGGTTTTAAAAGGGAAGCTGGTGGTTTAAAAGGGGAATCCGGGTGGTTTAAAAGGGGAATCTGGTGGTTTAAAAAGGGAATCTGGTGCTTTAAAAGGGGAATCTGGTGGTTTAAAAGGGGAATCTGGTGGTTTAAAAGGGAAATCCGGTGGTTTAAAAGGGGAAGCTGGTGGTTTAAAAGGGAATATTGTGGTTTAAAAGGGGAATCTGGTGGTTTAAAACAACTTCTGCCAAAGACAATTTCCATGGTCATGTAGCCAGCAAAGGCACACGGAACACTGTTACCTTCCCACCAAAGTGGTACCAGAGGTGAGTTTCTGCAGGCTCTGACCAGTTCTGGAGAACCGGTAGTGGAAATTTTGAGTAGTTCGGAGAACTGGTAGTAAAAATTCTGACTGGTCCTGCCCCCATCTCTTCTCTGCCTCCCAAGTTCCAGCTGATCGGGAGGAAATAGGGATTTTGCAGTAACCCTCTCCTGGATTGGGGAGGGAATGGAGATTTTACAGTATCCTTCCACTGGAGTGAGGTGGGAATGGAGATTTTACAGTATCCTTCCCCTGCCATGCCCACTGAGCCATGCGACGCCCACCAAGCCATGCCAACCCCAGCAAGCCACACCCACAGAACCGGTAGTAAATTTTTTTGAAACCCACCACTGAGTGGTACCTATTAATCTATTCTCATTTGCATGCCTTTGAACTGCTAGAGGGGCAGGGAGCTGGAGCAAGTAGCAGGAGCTCACCCCATCACACGGCGCTCGGGTCCCCGACTTGAGCTGTCGGCTTTCCAGCTGACGAGCTCAGCGTCTTTTAACAGCTGAGCCACCGCACTCCCAATTCACAAATATAGAGTTCCTTTTATCCCAGTAAAACCTCGCTCCCTTTTTGTGCCTGTAACATGAATTGGCGCCGAAGTGTGGGTTTGGTTGTGTTTGCAAAAGCTGTCTGTGAGTACCACTTGTGAAGAGTACCGTTTGAAATTCTATGCATCCCACTCTCCACAATGCAAGGAACAAGGACAAGCTGTGCAAAAGTACTCTTACAACTTTGCTTCGGTGTGTTTTGCACCCACCATGTGCACAGAACACGTTTTAGCACAAATCTTTGTAATTTACTTAAAATATAGATTAATAGAGCCATGGCTGTTCCCTTAGGACAGAGGTCTTCAAACTTGGCAGCTTTAAGACTTGTGGACTCAACTCCCAGAATTCTCCAGCCAGCTGGAGAATTCTGGGAGTTGAAGTCCACAAGTCTTAAAGCTGCCAAGTTTGAAGACCCTCTGCCTTAGGACCTCGTTTAAATCATAGAATCTTTTCTATGTACACCGAGAGCGTATGCACCAAGACAAATTCCTTGTGTGTCCAAGGAATGTGGAAGGGACATTAGAGGTCTTCTAGTCCAACCCCCAGCCCAAGGCCGGAGACCTTATTCTATTCTGGACAAATGGTTGTCCAATCTATTCTTTTTTTTAAAAAAATTTTTTTTAAACAAATATAAAAAAAGAACAAATAAAAAACCATCTTCAATTACAAACACAAACAGTGTGTCGGTTGGTTACAAGTCTTTTGTGTGTCTTCACCTTATTCATGTATATCATACATTTATTATCCTAATTAACCATATGTTTAACTATGGCTATTTCTTCCCTCGTTTCATATCAGATATTCTAAAATGGAGTTAATTTATATTTATACCATTCATTTCATCCTCTTAAATTGCTCCAATAATAGTACATCTTTGTATTATATTTTATATAATTCTATATTACTTGTATTAGAAAGATCATATTTCATTTCCATATTTTTTTATCTAACCATTGGTAGAATAAGTCCCATATCTTATAATATTGTTTATCTTCTTGTTCTTTAATTTCAAATGTCAATTTACTCATTTCAGCACATTCCATTATTTTCTTCATAACTTCTTGCGTTGGGATTTTCTCGTTTTTCCAATTTTTAGCAAACACAATTCTAGCCGCTGTTAATACATTCACGATCAAATATCTCAATTCTCTATTGTATATTTCAGGTACCATTCCCAATAAAAAGATCTCTGGTTTAAAGTCTATATGCTTTTGTGTCATTTTTTCCATCCATGTGTGGATTTTAGTCCAGTATCTTT